TATATATTTTTATTCAACTCCAGGAAGGCAGAGTTCGGTAAGCTTGGGAAGAGTTCTGAGAGTTAAGAATGGGCATGGGCAGCTTGGAAAAAATCCACAGGTAGAGTATATTCACTGATACATTTTTGCCCCTAAAAAATTTATAGAGAATGTATATAAATAAATACATCCCAGGAAAAATGAATCAACATGTTAACTCTGAAAATCTCTTCTCTTCACTTACAACAGACAGTATGCTGATTCTGTCTAAGGTTAAACCAAAATACTTTCCCTGTTAACATTCTGGCTTGGTGATTCTAAGAAAGAGTTGGACAAAAATTTGTACCAGCACAACAGTGATTAGAGAACTGGAAACAAGTTAACGACTATGGCAGATATTACAAAGTAGTACAACGAGTAGTGCTGACACACAGTAGGCATGCAAAATACTGTTAGTTATATGAATGGATAAAGATTTAAAATGCACTCTTATATATACTTTTGAGACTCTGGGCAGACTGCTACACCAACGTTTACTGGGAATGTTTCATCTCCTTGGGGCAAGGAATGGGGAAGGTTCCCATTACAACACCCTTCCCTCTCTGATATGTCTGGCTAGTTTTGGTAATAAAACAGGCATTAAAAAAGGAGAGGGAATTGAGGGAGGAAAAAATTTGCTTGAGATGGTCTGGATTTCAGACTATCATAAGGTTTTCCCCTTCTTACTGTTACTACTTAATGTCTACTCTCCCCATCACAAAAGGATGCATACACTTAAAATGAGCCCACTGTAATAAAATGTACACATAACTTGAACGTGCCAGAAAGAATCTCACTTTTCCTTGTTACATACTATGTGCACTCAAATGTTATGGACTTCATAATGCCAAATGTAATCTATTCATTAGAAGAATCAAGATCTTCAGAGGATCTCCTCTGTGCCACACACTGGATTTATGATGATGAACAGACAACAGACAAAGCCCTTTCCCTTCGTGTGAATCACAGCCTCGTAGGGAATACAGACATTAAACAAGCAAGATAAGAAAACAAAAATAAAACACACACCACAATACATGTAAAATCACAAGAGAAATAAATAGGGACAAGTAAGCAAATACAGAAGTTTAAGAAAAGGACAGCAGGAGAGAAGGGATGCTTGAACTAAGAGGCCTGTAGGAACTCAGCTGGTATGAAGGTTTCCAGGCACAGAAAATGCAAAGGAATGATGCCAAGAGGGAGCTTAGGTCAGTGGAAAAGTGAGAGAAAGCCAGTGAAGTATAGTTTCAACTTCATTGCAATACTAACCTCAATTTCACGAAGTTTAGCTCGTTTTTCCTCACTCATTTCAGAGTACTTAGAGAACTTGGACTCAGTCATTTCTTCTTTGATTGGATTAGAGTACAAATGATGTTCTTCTGATTTGGAACTCTGAGTATCTTCTTCATCTTCACTTTCTTCTTCTTGACTGGAAATAAGCAGAATATATCATATGTCAAGGCAGAAAAAAAATGTTACATTTTACAGTCTGGCTTTATTTTTCACTGCCTTAGACTGTAAATAATGTTAACAAAACATAAGAGGCCAATTCATTACTAAAACATTTCTAGAAAATATTTTATAAAATAATACAATTTTATAAAATTTATGTTTCTTCCACATAAGAAGTTGAGCTTCAACATAATCACTTTTAAAAATTCTGTGTATGTTAATGTTATCTGTGTGCCTTTCATTCTGCAACAAACTTTCCTTGCGGCATTAAGTGAAATGAATAATCAGACAATGATTCCCCACATTTTCCAGTTCAGCGTGAGTTCGGGAAGCTTAACGTTAAAAAAACCAAACGTATTTACTCTTTCTTCAGCAGGGGCTATACACTAGAAAATACATGAGTTTGTGTCACACAGTTAACTATGAAACAATGTAGCATGTAAAGACCTTATCTGATTAGCATATAACCCGAGGAATAAAGCAATGTATAAATTTTAAATATTATCACACATTAGTACTCATGTCAGAATTGATTCTAAGAATTATACTGATTCTATATCAGATAAGAAGAAAATGAAAAACTAAGTGACTGTCACAGGTAAGGATATAAAGAAGAAAAAAATCTATCCCTCCAGAAGCAATATAGTGGAAACAGACAGGCAAGCAACTACGTGCAAAGTTGGTCCTCACTGCTAGACTCAGACTGACAAAATGTTCTTGAAACACAAATGAAGGGGCTTAAAAAAAAAAAAAAAGAAGTTGTATGCTCTGGGACAGGACTTTGGTGTGCACGTATGTCAAATCTGGGCAAAACACGTCATCCACACACAAACTCAGAATGTTTATATATATATATTTATATATAAACAAAATTCCTTTTATAAAAAATACTGATTGTGACATTAACATTACTGGCATAGCCTAGAAAATATGCCATTTTCCCTTTAATATTTGAACCTTATTTGTTGGGATTGGGTACTAAACACATTCTACCATAAGCAGGAGTCCTTTCAGTATATATTTAAAACTATTCACAATAATGTAAAAGTAGTTATAACCAAATTCGTTCCAAATAAAAATTATTTGAGAGACTGATAATAGAACTCACACACTGATGAGAAAAATGTAAACAAGGCAGATAAAAATAAAATGTTGGCAATTCAGAATAAGAAACATGGTACTAAGAGAAGACTATACTACTAGTTTTGTAATTTCTTACCCAAAGGTCCTTTCCTGAACATTACTAAAGTGCTTTACAAACTTTATACTCTCAGAGCCCCACAAATCATTAGTACCTCATAAAGGTACAACTCACTACAATACTTAAAGAAGAAAATAGTAAAAGCAAACCATTTCTAGAAAACTATATTCATTGTGGAAATAAATATTTACTTATACTTAACACTTCTCATTAATTTGTCAGAAACTTCCTAAATGCAGTTTTTTTTTTAAAGATTTTATTTATTTATTTGACAGAGAGAGACACAGTGAGAGAGGGAACACAAGCAAGGGGAGTGGGAGAGGGAGAAGCAGGCTCCCCACTGAGCAGGGAGCCCAATGCGGGGCTCGATCCCAGGACCCTGGGATAATGACCTGAGTTGAAGGCAGACGCTTATCGACTGAGCCACCCAGGCGCCCCCTAAATGCGGTTTTTAGTTAATTTTTTTAAACACAAGAATTTCTTATTTTATGGTGCATAAATTTTTTACAAGTATTTCAGATGCTTTTAAATGGTTAAACTATATGCATGTGTATGTGTAAATACAGAGGTTTGCTGGAAGATTATTCCGGAAAGGGTCACTCAAAAAGATGAGTCACAATTAAATTGTGGTATCTATGCAATGGAAATTACCTAACCAATTCCAGCCTGTATTTACAAATTTCAATAATTTTTTTGCAAATTCAAATATTCCTTAATAAATATCCTTGAACACTTATCTGAATGCTTTCAACTACAGATAAATACAGAGCACATAACTATATGGACACAAAATAATGCCCATGACACTTACGTGAAAAATGGGGTCAGAGAACAGTATGGACAGTATTATATAATTTATGTTTAAAATAAATATACATGTCTTACGTATATAGAGAAATGATCCAGATGGCAAGACACCAAACATTAACCATATTATTTACTTTTAAAGTGAGTTACACTTGATAATCTAAAATACATATTCAGAGGCGCCTGGGTGGCTCAGTTGGTTAAGCGACTGCCTTCGGCTCAGGTCATGATCCTGGAGTCCCTGGATCGAGTCCCGCATCGGGCTCCCTGGATCGAG